GGTACCAAAAAAAAAAAAAGAAAGAAAGAAGCAATAAAGCTTTGAAATTTCTTAGGGCCGGGGATTTAGCTCAGTGGTTTCACCGCCTGCTGCACAAGTGCAAGGACCCGAGTTCAATCACCAGTACCAAAAAAAAAAAACATAAAGTATGAAGCTGAGCATGGTGGCACAAGTCTGTAACCCAGCAGGCCGAGACAGGATGACTGTCATGAGTTCAAGGCCAGCCTGGCATCTATACTGAGTTCAAGGTCACCCTGAACTACACAGTGAGAGCGTATCTCAAAAAAAAAAAAAAAAAGGAAAGTAATTTGTGAGCTGGGTTTGGTGGCACATGCTGCCTGTAATCCCAGCACTCTGGAAGGATGAATTGGGAGGACCTCAAGTTCAAGCCCAGTCTAGGCAACTTAGTGACTTAGAAAGTTCATGTTTCAAAAAAATGTATTTAAAAAGCTGAGGATGTAGCTCAGTGTGAAGGCCTTGGGTTCAATCTCTAGTACCACAAAAGAAAAACTTTTAAAGAAAATTATGGGAAGGAAAACAAAATGTAAAAATAAGGTAACATTTTTAAAACCTTCTAGTGACCTCCTCTTTCTTAAACCATTCATACCCAGTAGTTCCTTGGCACCAGCAGGCTGGTGTTGTGAGCAAGCACACAGACTCCTAAACCACTGAGCCTGGGTTCAAATTCCAGCCCTATCACTTACTGGCTCTGCAGCCTTAGCAAGTTACTTTACATCTTTGCTATCATGAACCTGTGGGAATTACAGTCGTACTTACCTCACAAGTTCACTGTGAAGGTTAAATGAGTGAAAACATGGACAGCACTGAAAAGCCCATCTAACCCAATTAAGCACCCAATGCACGTTGATATCATCATCATTATTCACCTCTCCAGTTCTCCTACACTCTCTCAACCTTTCCTACCACAGACAGTTCTGAGTCACCAGCTCCTCTGCTTTTACCTCTGCTTGCTTTGAATCATTTTCTCATTCTTCTCTAGACAATCTAGTCTGGTCACATTCCTCTTAAATGGAGGAGACCAAGACTGAGTGCACTAATAAGAGCTTTAACAAGAATCAACCCATCCCAAAGATGAGAATTACTTCTGCTTCTTCCATAGCATCCTTTCTGTCTTTACCATGCTAAATTTGTCATTTCTTCTATGCTTTTGCAAATGCTCTTTTCTCTCCCTGAAAGCCCTCATCCCTCTATCCCCAATCTCTCTCAAGCCCTCATTCCTGATTCCTCAGTGTGAAAAAAAAATCTTTATTCATGGCTCAAGAACTAGGTCTAAAAACTGGAAGATGGAAATGAACAGATAATCTATACCAGTGATGGCAAATCTTTCAGAACTTTCAATGATAACAAACAGCCCGCTGTGGCACATGTAGCACAGGTTCACCACCACTGATCTATACTGTCTCTTCATCCCCTTATCCTAAGTCAAAAGTATAGTACAAAGAATTAAAGTATAGATTTAGAATTGGCCAGATCTGGACTCAAGTTCTAGTTCAGCTATTTTCTGGCAATTAGACCTTGATCACAGTTACCTAACCTGTTCAAGCTTCAATTTCTTCATTTGGTAAAAGGGAATAATAACCAGACCTACTTCACTGGATCATTGTGAAGATCCAATAAAACTTTAAAAGATAACATATGAGTTGAGTGTGGCAGCACACATCTGTAATCTTAGCACTCTGGGAGGCTAAGGCAGAAAGCTTTCAAGTTTAAGCCCAGCCTGGGCAAATTAGGCACTTAGCAAGACCCCATCTCAAAAAAAAATTATTTTTAATATTTTAAGGCTGGGGATATTGCTCAGTATGAAACCCTGGGTTCAATCATCAGTGCTGGAAGGAGAAAAAATAGCATATGAGGCCGGGGATTTAGCTCAGTGGTTTTGACACCTGCTGCACAAGCACAAGGACCTGAGTTCGATCCCTGGTACCAAAAAAACACAAAAAGCATATGAAATGCTTAGCACAGCACCTAGCATAAAAATGTTCAATAAATGTTAGCTATCATTATTTTTAAAAACACTACACATACTTTAAAACTTTCAATAATATCCTATTGTGCTATGATATAAAATCCAAACAAGGGCCGGGGATTTAGCTCAGTGTTGCCGCTGCCTGCTTCACAAGCGCAAGGACCTGAGTTTGAGCCCCGGTACCAAAAATAAATAAATAAATAAATAAATAAATAAATAAATAAATAAAATCCAAACAATAATAATCTGGGCTCAAACTTCTGCCACTCTGCCACTTACCCATCCAATCCCCTTCGCTATGCCTGCAATGTCCTGACATTTCCCAAATGTACTGTGCCCCTGCATTTGTGCCTTCCTTTGAACATATCTTTGTCTGGAAGAACATCGCTTCTGACACTGTCTGGCTGTTCTCCACATCCCCAACACTCACATACCTTCAAAACCAGCTCAAATACTGATCCACTTTGTGGCACCTTCCCAAATTCCCTCTTGGTTCTTTCTTCCATGTTCTTATAATACCTCCTACATAATGCTACCCCAGTCATATGCCATTGAGTGCACCTAATTTATAACAACTATTTCCTCCATTAAATGCAAGCACCTCCAGGGCAAAAATTCAAAGAGATTCAGAAGCACAGAAAGACTGGAGAGAAATAAGTGGATAGCTCACCATAAATTCTAGTATGGGAACAAAATGTGCTCATTAACCAACCAGTCTCTCCCTATCACCTTCTTTATAGTATTTCCAACACCCTTAACTCCCTTTGCATCTATCTTTCCACTGCAGGCATTCAGGGGCCTGGGATTTAGCTCAGTGGTGTGGCTGCCTGCCTTGCAAGTGCAAGGACCGTAGTTCCATCCCGGGTACCAAAAAACAAAACAAAACAAAAAAAATAGGTACATTGCACGCATTCAGGAAAAGCTCTGCTCTTGATGACCCCTTCTGTATTGGGCTGGTATCACCTTTAGGGGGAAAAAAATTACACATATGCAGTAACCTGGAAGGAAGTTAGGGGCCTAGGGACTGGGGATTTATCTCAGTGGCACAGTGCCTGTCTCGCAATGGCAAGCTCCTGAGTTCAATCTCTGCACCAAACAAAAACAAACAAACAAAAACCCATGAGGGAAGTTAATATTCAAGAAAAGGTGATGTCAGGAATGACTCCCAGGTCTCTGACTTGGTGATCACTGACAGAAAGAAGACAAGAAATGTACCAGGCTTAGCAAGAGAACATGGACTTGATTCTGGATGAATTTAGATGTCATTGAGATGGAAATGCCCAAGGGATAATATCAAAGGAATTGGTTTAGGGTAAGGATCAGCGAACTATGACCCACAGACCAAATGGAAGCAAACTGATCTCACAAGAGAGGGCAACCTAAGAATAACTAATATCTGACTGCACTGTCCTTTTTGTGGGTGACCTACACGGGCCTAAACCAATCATTACCTCCAGGGGGTTCCTAATAAACAACTAAAAAGTTTTTTCAGCACCTTTATGTAAACAAAGTTTTATGAGAATACTGCCATGTGCATTTATTTATATATTGTCTATGGCACATTTTGCACTTTTTGCAGAACTGAATAATTGCAATAGAGATTATGTGCCTCAAACCTGAAAACATTGATTCTCTATTCCTTTATGGAAAAGCTTTGCCAATGCCTGGTTTAGAGTAAAGAAGAGATCTGAGTTAGAATTACAAATCAGAATCCCTCTAATCTCCCTCCAACCAATTCTCCACACTGATTATTACATACAATCTACCCCCCTCCCCGCCACATCTCTGACAGTTCCTATCAAATCCCTTTCTAAGTCTTCCCCTTTCTTTTTTTTGTTTGTTTGTTTTTGTTGGGGTTTTTTTTTTGGTACCAGGGATCAAACTCAGGTCCTTGCGCTTGCGAAGCAGGCAGCGAAATCACTGAGCTAAATCCCCAGCCCCAAGCCTTCCCCTTTCTAATCCAGTGTTACAGTCATTCAGAAACTTCCATCTTAGTCTAATGTCCTTATAGATATTTATTTATCTTTTAACCTAAGTCAGAAAGCATTCTGACCAGGTAAATATGCTAATTATAAACATATCCATTAAAATGAACCAAAAATTAATCTGAAAATGAGAATTGCATTAACATAAGTAATTTTTTACATGGGAGAAATTAAATAAACAAGATAAAATGAAGATTACAATTTTATACGTCCCCGTTTTCAAAATATAAATTGGCCAATTCTTGATTCATATAATTGGACATTCACATGGAAAAAAGACAAATGTAAGACTAGGCTCCATAGGCTATCATTTCTACACACTTAAACAACTATTACAGTGAGACCAGGCTTATAACTTAAGGAGAATCCAACCAAGCTAATAATTTAAGGGGTCTTATCTTTGAAGAGAGGAAGCAAATGAACACTGGTATGAAACCAGGGCCTATCACCTAACACTTAAAAAATGGATTGAAAACATGTTAAATGAAAGAAAAAAAGCACATACTGGATGATTCCATTTATATGCAACGTTTAGAATAGGCAAGTCTCTAGAGACAGAAAGTAGTCTGGTGGTTGCCAAAGGCTGGGGAAAAGTGGGAATGGGTACAAGGTTCCTCTCTAGAGTGATAAAAATGTTCTAAAATTGATTGTAGTAGGATCCATGTAACTCTGAATCCTAGAAACCACTGAACTGAACACTTTACAAGGGGTAAATTGTATAGCTTGTGAGTTGTATCTCAAACTTATTTTTAAAAAGTGAAATATAAATCTATTCAACAAGTACACAGATCATAAAATTAATTTGAATGTTGGGATTACTTGGTACACTGGATTTGAAGGAACTCTTCAATGTGAAATGGCATTAGGTTTAAGAAAACACTCATCATGCCTACAGTCTCAGCACTTGGGGGGCTGAAGCAGGAGGGTCGCCATGAGTTTGAGGCCAACCTGGGCTACATAGTGAGTTCAGGCCAGCCTGAACTACATAGCAAGACTCTCTCAAAAAAACATAATAAAACAAAAAACATTCATTTCTAGAATTTTTTTTCCTTTAACGGGACAATATTTGAACATTTCTCATGGCGGGGTAGGGAGATAGGGGTTTACATGAAATGACAATAAGGTAGCCTAAATACTATATTGCAAAAAGAATTTAGCTGGATGACACGGGCAACTGGGAGGTATCAGGGAGTGTGCTGGCAGCGTATTAGTCACCAGATAAATAAAAACTTCCCAGACCTACCTGATGAGATTTAGGGCACCTGAAATCTTTACATCATAAAATATTAAAGCTTGCTTTTAGAAATCCCCATTATTTATTGGGAAATTTTGTGAAGTTAACAATTCACTCTAATGCTAGCTAGTTATATTAATTTCTACTTTTCAAAAAAGCCACATACAAAATCCAGGAAATAATTGCACTCTAAAATGAAGTTAATTAGGTTGGACTGAAATTTATACAATTTGAAAACTGCGTGGAACCCAAACGTGTCCAAAATTTAATACGTTATCTTGTCAATAGTATACTTCTGGTATTAGTTAAACGATTAAAATTTCAAGAGAATATGTTTCTTCTCATATTTTTTTAATGTTTCAAAAATACCAAGGCAACTTTTTCTTCAATATGTTTGTCTATTATAATAAAATCAAACCCCTTCTGTGACAAATACACACTTTATTTGTTAGCCCCTGCTAATCATTTACAAAAACATGAAAAATTACTGTCATGATTTTGTTTCTCAAATTTACTGGAACAAACTACTGACCATTAGAATTGCCTGCCTCAAATCAAGGTATAAAGCTCTCAAAACTTCAGCACACAATCACTGCTATCTCATACAAGACAGCACCCCAAAGCTTTATGGTTCCAGAGTCGTGTTATCACCTAAAGACAATGCCAAGTAACACAAGGTGACCGGCTGAGCTCCCACAGCTCAGGAAAGTCTGACAAGATACCAACTCTCCGCAGTGGGCACTGTTTACCAGAAGAAAACATCTGCCACACCTCCTTTCCTTCCTTCTCAGAAACCTAACAGGGGCTTTCCTGAGAACCCCCACCCGGAACCGGAAAAGCGACCATCTTCCCTAACCGCCCCCCCCCGGCCGGAAGTGGAGCCCCGCCAGCCGGCCCACTCACCCTGGAAGAATAGGACGCTCAGCAGCGGAAAGAGAGCGCAGCCACGGCTTCCAGCCGCGGCTCCGCTCTGCTGCATCCCGACAGCTCTCCAGATATCTGCACACCTTGTTTACAGCTCCCGGTAACAACACAGATAACACCGGAAATGACGTCTATGGGAAGCAGCAAGAACACTTAAAATGGCAATTCCGTGTTGCCGCAGGGATACGCATTCTTTCCAGTACCATACTAGCTGTCACTAACCAGCGTTTCTTTGACGCTCAGGTTAGAGCTAGTTGTTGTCTTGCTTTTTTTTTTTTTTTTTTTTTTTCAGACCAGGTCTCGCAATGTGGTACCGCAAGCTGGCCTTGAACTCACTATGTAGCCCAGGCTGGCCTCGAACTTGCGGCGATCCTCCTGTCTCAGCCTCCCGAGTGCTGGAACTACAGGTGTGCAACACCACACCCAGCCGTTTTCTTGTTTTAAAATTAAGTAGATTACAGGCTCTGGGAAATTTGGCTTTTTTTTTTTTTTAATTCTGCAGGACTAAAGAATCTTTTTGTTTGTTTGTTTGTTTGTTTGTTTTGGTACCGGGGATTGAACTCAGGTCCTTGCGTTTTCTCAGTAGGCGGCGAAACCACTGAGCTAAATCCCTGGCCCGGACTAAAGAATCTTAATTTTCAGTATTCCAGATGTTTATCCCCCTAGAGATTATTTTAGTTGAACTCACAATAGATTATCATAACTTTAGAAATCAAAAGACCTAGGAGAGTATATTGGGTCAGTCAGTCAATAAATATATATTAGTCCCTTGTGGCCAATATGTGCCTCAAGTCTGTTTGGTTCCTATCCTTATGTAGCTATTTCAGCATCCAGAATTGGGTGTTTATTAAATTACTATTGACAGCAACAATGATCAAATCATTACAGCATATATTAGAAGTGAAGGTAACTGGAGTCTGTTTATGTTTTGGTTGGAAAAGTTATGTTATCAAAGTACTTGGAGTTAAATGAGTATCACATACTTCTGAAAAAAATGGTACAGGTGGTGCTGGGGATTTAGCTCAGTGGTTCTGCTGCCTGCCTCGCAAGCACAGTGTCCTGAATTCGATCCCCAGTACCAAAAAAAAAAAAAAAAAAGTACAGAATAGTGCTTTAGTCCTTAGTCACCCTATTCTGGAATTGCCATATGGCTAATGAAAGCAGAGGGGAATAATGATATGCTTCAGCTTTGGGGAAAATTTAATTTCCCTTTTTTTTTTTTTTCTTGGTACCAGACATCAAACTCAGAACCTTGCGCTTGTGAGGCAGGCGCGGTGCCACTGAGCTACATTTCCAGCCCTTAATTTCCCATTTTTCAACTGCCATCCCCTTATTACACTTGAAAGCTCAAACTGAGGGAGTAATAATGCAAGAGTACCAAATGGAATAGGCGATCCATTCTTTCAAGAGCCTCCAAACTAAGCAGTATTGTTATGCCCAATTTCCAGCTATCCAATTTCAAAGCAATGTGAAAATTCTATAGAAATCCATGTTTTTGTTTACCCAATAAAATCAATTGTTTTGTTTTGTTTTTTGTACTGAGAATTGAACCCAGGGCCTTTATAGGGATCTACATCAACCTTTTTTCATTTTTAATTTTGAGACAGTGTCTCATTAAGTCACCAAGTTGCCCAGGCTGGGCTTGAACTTGCAGTCCTGCAGCATCAGCCTGCCAGAGTATTGAGATTACAGGTGTGCACTACCACATCCAGCTAATTCTATCCATTATTGATTTCCAGCTTCTTTCTACTATGAAAACTTTCCAGTGAAGATAAAATATATACAAAGGGTAATCAAAAAAATAGTTGAATATTTAAATTAAGGAAAATTTACAATAAAAAACATTGCCATTAATCCCCCTCAAAATACTTCCCCTAGCTTCAAGCACACTTACCCATCATTCTTGCCAGACCTCCACTGCCTTGCTGTGCAGTGAAGGGAAGGAATCTTCCATGCAGAGCTATTTTCTGAAGCAATTCTGGAAGTCATCTTTCATGAATGTCTTTATGACATGTGATCAAAAATACACTGAATACTGCTCCCACATGCCATCCAATGCACAAGCAGGCTCACAAAAACATTTCAGTGTCATCATCTTCTTCACTAGATCTGGCATCATATAACACCTGTCTCTTCCTCAAAGTCAAAATGACCATAAAAGGTGAATGTTTTGAATTAATTCAGGACATTGAGGCAGCCAGGACAGTGCAACTAAAGACATTCATAAAAGACGACCGCCAAGAACAATGGGCTATATTGGGAGCAAGGGGGTGAATTTTGAAAGGGCTATAGCAGTGTATCTTTTACTGTAATAACTTTTTAATCTAAACATTCACTGTATTTTTAGATCATACCTCATACAACTGTTTTCTGTTAACCTGGTATGTAAAATTTTCACACAAGCATAGAAATTGTATAATTTATAATTCTTTATTACTAAAGACTTATTTACATAGTGTTTAAGGTATAATAAAAAATAAATTACAATACAAAAGTGCTCTTCAGGAAGGAGATACTAAACAAGGCCATATTACCCCTTGAGTATTTAGCCAAGACACGAGCTATAAGATTGCTGGAAAAAGTTTTTAACTACTTTGTTTCACTTATGGAGCATCATCAAGACATCTGAAGAAATATCCAGTTGTTGTATTTTCAAGAGTTTGTTTTTGGGGATTTTTTTTGGTATCAGGGATCGAACTCAGGACCTTGAGCTTGCGAGGCGGGCAGCAGAACCACTGAGCTAAATCCCCGGCCCTTCAAGAGTTAAATTACAAAGAAAAATATAAAATGTTATTTAAAGGTAATAGATTTCAAATCTAATTTCTAGTTTCAAAACTGAGTATTGAGAGTTTACCTTTTGAGGCAGTGTAAAAGGCAGAATGAGATAGGTATAGAATGAATTTCAGAATTGAGGTTCACATGTAAATTATACCAATTTTAAAGAAATAATATTGAGAAAAATATCAAGATCCAGCATCTTTAAATATAACCTGTGAAAATTTCAATTTGTTTAAAAAAAAAGTATCAGCAGCTTAATCAGTGAAAACTGAAAATATCAGGCTATAAAGATTTATCTTTGGGCCAGGGATTTAGCTCAGTGGTTCTGCTGCCTGCCTCACAAGCGCAAGGTCCCGAGTTCGATCCCTGATACCAAAAAAGATTTATCTTTGACCTAAACTTGTAGGTGTTTTTTATCCTTTGAACAAATGTGTAAGTTTGTAAAGATATGGATAACTAGACACTTTTGTAAAAGCTCTCTTCTTTCCACAGCTCACTTACAAAGTGTACCTACCAATATAAGGGGGAATAGTTTCAGTTAGTTGAAGTAGTTTTGGTATTTCTTTGCTCTGTACCGAATTCTCTGTCCCTTAAGCAAGTGAATTACAATCAATAAACAGAGAAAATATTTAAATAAGCTCATCCAGTTCTGAACTTTGTATAATACTGTACAAAATTATCATCATTTAGAGTTGGTCTTCTTCACCAGCCCTAAATTTTTAAAGTTGCGGTATACTATCTCAGAACCCTTCCATTAAACTGCTTACTGATTCCAGTCTGCAAACGAGCATAGATTTTGCTCTGTTGTTAAAGATAATTGAATAGAAGGGCAGGGCAGAAAGCTAAACAGTCACAGCTCATGAAAGACCTACACTGTTAATTATTTTCCCAATAAAGTAAAAAGATGACACATGATACATCCTGAGGTGGCATTTGCCAATACAGTAGTGTCTATGTAACCTTTTGCACTTACTGAATGATTTGGACTTGCGCTATTTTAAATCTTACATTAACTGACAAAAACAAAAAATCTCATCAAAGGCGTGTCCCATACTTGAGGAGAACCATAAAAATCACACTTAACAGTTTGTCCTTGGAATTTCCTGTTAATTAAAAAATGGCTGAGAGGTTTAGCTCCCCTTTAATGGAAATGTGAGAAGGAAAGAAAACATTAACTTTAGCAGCAAGGGTGATGCTCTCAAGATACTAATGTGTGAAAGGAAATGTCATGACAAATTGGCCTTTATCCCTTTTGTTGCCAGTATGTGTTTCTACAAGTCATACCCCATAAGGGGGTGTTGTAAGGGAAAAAATGTAGCTTCTTAGTTTATACAAGCTAATGTGGATTTGAAAAGTATTTGTACTCTGAAATTAAATAAAAGCTTAACAATGAGACTGTGTGTGAGTCTGCTGGCATCTGCTCAAGAGCTCTGTGCTGCCTGCAGAGAGATGTTATTTATCTCGGTGGTATGTTCTGCAGAACTTGTCAGAAGACAGGTCACAACTGGAAACACCGAAGAGAAATTTCCATGAACTTCAGGAAATCTTGGAAATCTTCAGCTTCCTAAAATACAAAACAAAAATTTTAAGTTGATAATATATTTGGGAAAAATACATTAGAGTAACTTACAGTGTAAATTACATACATGATCTACTCTCCATTTCCTTTTTTTTGGTATCAGAGATCAAACCTTGTACTTGCAAGGCAGGCAGCAGCACCACTGAGCTAAATCCCCAACCCTACTCTCCATTTCTGAAGGAAAATATTTTTATTCTCTCCTAATTTAATTTTAATAAAAGAAGGTTCCTGAGCCTTATTACAGGGTTCTCAGAGTAAGTGTCATTTATGCATAGCCTCTAAGTGCCCTGCATGAACACCAGGCTGATCACAGCATGCTCACACTCATACATTCTTCATTGTGTGTGCGTGTGTGTGTGTGTGTGTGTGATACCAGGGATTAAACTCATGACCTTGCACTTGCCAGTCAGGCACAGAGCCACTGAGCTACATCCCCAGCCCACATTCATACATTCTTTCCCTTCTCCATCCCCCTCCCTTATAAACAAAATCAGATGTGTAGAAAAGTGGAGAAGATAGTGAGGGAATTCATCCATCACCTAATTTTAAAGTATTTTTTGTATTATTTTCTTCTGGGGGAACTAGACTTTTTAAAGCAAATTACTGAGACTCTTACATACTCTAGTATGTTTTTGGGGTGGGGAGTACCAGGGATTGAACCCAGGGCTTTCATGCTGAACTACATCCCCAGTCTCTTTTTAATTTTGAGATAGGGTCTTATAAGTTGACCAGGCTGGGCTCAAATTTGAAATCGTTCTGCCTCAGTCTACCCCAGTGCCAAAATTATAAGCCTGCACCACCATGCCTGGCTCTACTATGCATTTTTAAAAATAGGGACATTTCCCTACATAACCACAATAACATTATTACACTTAATAGAAACTAACAATAATTACCTAATGTTGTTCATGTTCAATATTTTCATAGTCAAGACCTCACTTGTTTAAGACTTCTCATTTTTTTTACATTTAGTTTGTTCAAACTTGTATTCATCCAGTCAGAGATCACACATTGCACTTGATTTTTAGTCTCTTAAATTTCTTTTACTCTAAAATAGGCCACAGTCCCCATCCTTATTCTCCATGACCCTGACTCGTTAGAGAATCTGCTAGATTTTTTTTTTTGCTTGATTTTAAAAAGACAATAATCTTTGGTAAGAATCCCCTTATACAAGTTTAGTTTTCTGTTTTTACAATATAATCACTTTTCTTCATGTTCTGATTTATCATACTTGAGATCTGTCACTGGAATGTCAGCCTATAAAAATGTGACTTCACATTAATAATAGTCTATAAAACTTTCCTCTCATTTAAGACAGCCAAACAGAGTTTTACAAGATAAAGTTATTAATGTCAAGAATATTATGTTAGGAGTGTAAAATTCAGCTTGCATGTCGATTTACAACCTCTAGAAATTAACTGTGGACCTACTTCAGAGAATAGGAGAATTCCTAGCATAGGAAGTCATCCTATCTTTAAGCCTGACAAACCTGAAAACTGAACAAAATTACACACTACTAAAACTAAATTCATAGCCCAATAACTAAGTGAGAGGAGGAACTGAAGTCAATTCCAAATAGAATAAAAGATCTGATAGATGGGCATTGTGGCACAAGCCTGTAACCCTAGCACACAGGAGGCTGAGGCAGGAGAATTGCCGCAAATTTGAGGCCAGCCTGGACTACATAGCAAGACCCTGTCTCAAAAAACCAAAAATAAAGAGATCTAACAAATGTCAGGCATGTTAATTGTATCACTCTCTTAATGTTTTGACTGGTTTACAATTTTTTAATCATTAATTTTTTTCGGGCCCAGGATTTAGCTCAGTGGTTTCACCACCTGCTGCACAAGCACAAGGACCCAAGTTCGATCCCCAGTACCAAAAAAGAAAATCATTAATTTTTTCGTTAAAAAAAGACATTGGCATGGGAACGTAGTTCAGCACTAGAGCATTTGCCTAGCATGCACAAGGTCCTGGGTTAGATTCCCAGTACCACCAATCAATCAATCAATAATAAATAAATAATTTCATTTTTAACAGCAATCGAGTCTAGCACAAAATACACTCAAAGAAGAAGCTTTTTGGGGACCAACAGAAGACTTATCTCCCTGACCCAAGCCTGAAATTTCTTATAGGAAATACCTAATGACACATAAAATAATCAGGGAGACCCACTTCAGAAATGGGCCAGGCAGATCAGAAAGTTGAGGAAAGAGATCAACCCTGCTTGTGAACCTTACCATCTAGGGATATTAGTCTGTGTCTTCTAAAGAAGCAGAGATCGTTTTTTCTTGGTTGAGCCTTTCTTCTTCATGACTGTACCAAAGAAACAGAAACCAAATGTCAGGTGAACAAGGCAAGAAGCAAAGGAGGTAAATCCATCCTAGAGACATGTCGAGTAAAGTATCTTCTCCCCCAAGTTTTAGGAAGAATTACTTTTACCTGGGAGTAGATCCAGGGTTACAGAGAGTTAACCCATTACTGCCACCTGATAATACACCTCCACAGGACACTGGGTATCTGAACTGAGGGACTACAACTTGGGCTCCAATTTGAGAACTCCAGAAGTTTAAAGCATACACCATACTTTATCACTAGTATCCTAGCTCTGATTTCTACTCCTGTTCAAAAAAGAAAAGTTTTATGTTGGCCTAGAAGTTATCTTTACCAATTATATTTCTATTCAAATCAGACCCTCAGACTCAAGAGGTGGGTTTCTTAGGCTCTTTGAAAAATCAATTATATTCATTTCAGTAAATATTTACTGAGGGTTAAAAATAGTGTTGGAACAACTATACATACACATACAAAAGAATGAATCAGAATTCCTGCATCAACTATATATACAAATTAGCTCAAAATGGATCAAAGAGCTAAAACTATAAAACTCTTAGGAAAAAATATAGGTATAAATCTTCATGATGTTGAATTAAGCAGTGGTTTCTTAGATATAACTCAAAAGCACTAGCAATAAAAGAAATAGATAAATTGGACTTCCATCAAAATTTAAAACCTTTGTGCCTTAAAGGATATTATCAAGAAAGTGAAAAGAGGCCAGGGATTTAGCTCAGTGGTTCTGGGGCCCGCCTCACAAGCGCAGGGTCTTGAGTTTGATCCCTGGCACCAAAAAAAAAAAAAAGTGAAAAGACAACCCACAAAGTGGCAGAAAATAATTGCAAGTCATATATCTGATAAGGACTAGTATCCAAAACATAAAGAACTCTTAGAACTAAATAATAAAAAGACAAATAACCAATCCAGTTTTAAGGTGGACAGACTAATCAAACAGATTTATCTCCAGATAGATATACAAAAGGCCATTAAACAGTTGGAAAGATACAAATCCAAATCTAGTGAAATACTTCTTCATGTCCACTAGATGGCCATAATCAAAAAGACAAGTGGTGAGGATGTGGAAAAAGATTCTTTGTGTATTGCTGATAAAATGAAGGGGCTGGGATTTAGCTAAGTGGCACCATCCTTGCTTGCCTTGTAAGGGCAAGGTTCTGAGTTTGATACCCAGTACCACAAAAATAAAAAGTAAAATGAAGCTTTTGAGGAAACAGACTGGCAGCTCCTCCAAAAATTAAACAGAGCTACCATATAACTCAGTAATTACAATAACTTCTAGGAGAATTGAAAACATATGTCTATACAGAAATTTGTAGATGAATGTTCATAGCCACATTAGTCTTAATGGCCAAAAAGTATTGAAAAAACCTAAATGCCCATTACTTGATGAATGGATAAACAATATAGAGTAAACCCACAGTGGAATATTATACAAACATAAAAAGGAATGCAGTACTAATATATACAACACTGAACTTTGACATTATACTAATGAAAGAAGCTAGATGTAAAAAGCCACATATTGTATTAACTCCATTTATAGGAAATGTCCAGCATACGCAAACTCTCACAGACAGAAAGTGGATGGGTAGGTGTCAGGACTAATGGAAGAGGAGACAGGGAGTAATGGCTAAAGGAAGAGGTGGGTGTTAAAATGCTTCTGCAAATCTCGTGAATAGTAAAAGGGTGAGTTGTATGGTACATAAAGTTTATCTCCGTTTAAAGATTCATTTATTGAGCACCTATGGGGCCCGGGGATTTAGCTCAGTGGTTCTGGCACCTGCCTCACAAGGGCAAGTTCCCAAGTTCGATCCCTGGTACCAAAAAAATAAAAATATTGAGCACCTATGATCAGCAAAACAGACTCTAATGCACTGATTCATTGTGATCCTGCTGACTGCCTAGCCAACTGGGTGTGGTGGCACACACCTGTAGTCCCAGCACTCTGAGAAGCTGAGGTGGAAGGATTGCCACAAGTTTGAGGCCAGCCTAGGCTACATAGCAAGACTCAAAGAGTCAAAGAAAGTTTCAAAGAAACTTGAAACTCAAGTCTCAAAGAAACAAAACAAGTTCCAGCCCAGCTTAGCAGCTCAGCAACTTAGCAAGACCCTGGCTCAAAATTTAAAAATTAAATGGCCTGGAGATGGGGGTGTATCTCAGTGCAAAGGCCCTTGAGTCAATCCCTAGTAACGGGGTGGAGGAGGTGTGCATCACTAAAAGTAAGGTGTAGGGGTGTAGCTCAGTGTTAGAGTGCTTACCTAGCATGTGCAAGGCCCTGGGTCAGTCCCGCTGCCAAAAGGAAAAGGAGGAGGCTATAAAGTAAGGGATATTTTAGCTAGTCGAGGCAGCACCTGCCTGTAATCGCTACTTGGGAGGCTGAGTAGGAGGAGCACAAGTTCAAGGACAGCCTGGGCAACTTAGTGAGACCCTGTCTCAACATAAAATAAAATAGGCTGGAGATGTAGCTCACTCAGTAGTAGAGTACTTGCCTTACATGCCTTAGTACTTAAAAAAATAATAATCAGGGATATCTTAGAAAAGCTTTACATAGCCGATTTTTATAACATCAAATCCCACATAGTTAAGAAATCCTATGATGAAATCTTCTGTAAAATTAAGAAACCTTTTGTAAAGCTTTCACACCCTAATTCATTTATTTATGCAGTGAATCACAATTCTTTTACATAGGATTTACTCAAAGGGAAGAACATGTGTTCAACAATTCTTTAGCCCCATTGCAACATACCAAGAGTCACCATAAGAAAGTATTAGGAAGAGCCTTTCCCATAACTGCCCAGCCTTACGGTTTTATCTCCACCACTCTGTGAGCTCTTTCAGCCCATCGCTTTTTCCGGAAATGCTGGAAGAGGACTACCAGGATTACAATGATGACCATCAACCCACAGGCAGAGCCAATGGCCAGAGCTAGGAAGTAGATCTCAGAGAACTGTACTGTAAAGAAAAAAAGATCAAGTGATCAAGTTGGGATTGTAAAAAGACAAAGAAATATAGTGAAACCTAAAGCCATAATAGGCATACATTTTGTTAGTAAATAGAATCCTTTCTCTTACTTCTGTGTGTAAAATACATTACTTTGTAAACCCCAGTAGCAGCAGGAAAGCCACACAGACTATGTTAGTGATTCTAACAGGAGTAGAAACACAGTTGCACTTGAGAACTTTGAAATGAAGTATCGAATTAGAAACAGTAGGGTGGTGACCCAGCAATCTGTGTTTTAACCTGTCCTGTAGGTGATTATGATGCCTACTAAAGTTTTGAGAACCACTGACTCAGGTGAACGGCCCAGTGTGGTGATGTTATGCTCACCTAATCAAACCTAGTGCCCAGCTCATTTCTCCTGACTGTATCTCACCTCTGTCGCTCATTCAGTTATTTATTCAGATGCCCAGCCACTGTGGCAGTAATGAAAAACAAAAAAATGACACTACTTTCAAGAAGCTCTTGCCCCCTGGGAAGATAGTTAAATAAATCAATAACTAATCTACTGGATAAATGGCAAAGGAGGGAACCCAGAGGGAAGCCTCCATACCAGACTAGACCCCATGAAACTTGGTTCTCCTGTCCTTTAACTTGATTTCTGACTTAAACTTCAATAACCCCTCAGAGCCAGGAATGACCTTAGAGAATGTGTAGCCCAGGAGTTTCCAACCTGGAGTCCCTCAAGAATGATGGAGAGAAGGGAGGGAGGTTTGACCCACAAGCCCACAAAATTCATGTTTTGTTGTATGTGTTTCCATTTTTTTGTGGGAAAAAGAGCTATGGCTTTAATTACACTGCCAGAGTAGTGATTTTGATTTTTTTAAGAGACAATAAAAGGAGGGGTTTTTAATTCAATGATATAGCTGGATAAGTAAATTTGTTTATAACCTTTTTGTTTTTCTAAGATAGGGTCTCACTATGTAGTCCAGACTGGCCTTGAACTCTCAGCGATCTTCCTGCCTCAGCATCCCAAATGCTGGAATTATAGGCATGCACCACCATGCCCAGCGTTTACAACCATTCTTGGGAAATAACATTTTGTTTTTTAAAAATATGACTAACTTCTTTACAAACAGCAGACACATACCTCAACTATGATGGCCCTAATTTTTGGTGGACACTGTACATGACTGGGCAGAAACAGGTAAGCTCACACTGGTAGATTAACTATCAATTGTTCAGTCAAAACTCCGTTTGTGGCCTCCACTTTTTTTTTTCCACTTCTTGATAGATTTCTGTTCCTACTTCGTCTTCTACCATCTTGTCAACTTCCTGAGTGACTCCCCTGTCAACTCTGTCTACCTTGGCATGTTTAAAACCCATTGATTTCTTGACTAACTGAAGAAACTGAGATCTGAAGGCATTATATTACTTCTTTCAGTGACTTTTGAGTGACTTCTCCAAGTCACTCAGCTCTCTGTTGGGAGGGCCTTGAGGGATGGTTTTAAACTGTATTAAGAATGAAAAGAGGAGGGCTGGGGATTTAGCTCAGTAGTTCCACCACCTCCCTCGAAAGCAGCAAGGGCCCTAGTTTAATCCCCAGTACCAAAGAAAAAAAAAGAATGAAAAGAGGAAATCATACTACTTTGTACACTGCTTATACATTTGGACTAGTAGTAATACTGTGTTGGTTAAGAGCTCATACCAGAGAAAGCTAAGTTAAAATGCCAGCTCTACTATTTACTAGCTGTGTGATTTGGGGTAATTAACATTTTTGAGCTGCAGTTTCCCCCCCGGAGAGATAACAATCCATTTCCTGAGTTCTTATAAAAAATAATTCATGTAAACTGTTCCATACAGTGCCTACCCCTAATAATGGAAGCTGTTCTAATTTTCAGCATAGTTAGGAGTTTGGGAAATGTTCATTTGTCTGTCCTCACACATATAGTTGTGTAAGTGATAGCCATGACTTAAACCCAGATATGCAACTTGAAAGTATTGTGGTTTTTGTTCTTTGTTCCCTAGAACCATTTTCTAGGTTGTCCATTACAGAGGGGCAGGCACTAAAAATACACTAGTTTGGAGCACAATTTTAGAGTCAAAGGTTAATTGGGTTTGAGTCCAAAGTTACTCCACTTACCAACTACATGACTGTGAGCAAGTGACTTAACCTCTGTGAGCATGATAAACTGATGAGGTACCTAAAGAATAACGTGTGTCATGTAAAGTGCCTGACATGTGGGAAGTACTCGGTTCACGTTAGCTACCGTGACTGCTATCTGCCTCCTTGGGTGGTGTGAGGATTAGAGAAGACAGATGTGACAAGCATTTGGAAGTGCCTGGCGCAGAGCAGGTACTCAATAAGTATCTTGAATAAATAAGAGAATGAACGGACTTATTGTTAGCCTTTTATCAGAGTTGCTTCCTCTCCCTTTCACCATCTCAAAGCCATTTTTTAACAGATTCCCTGGGTCCCTTTGCTTTGCTTTCTGTTTCTTTCCACAACTAGACAAAGCCTTTCTCTTTTTACCCAAGGACTCTTCAGTCTCCCTCTGAAGTTCTCAGCTCCGAAGCACTAGGCCCTTTCTCTACCCTTTGAATCATCACAAGTTTGCCCCTCTCTTTTCTACCACCTCTCACCCTTCCCAAACCCAACCCCCCACCCCCATGACCTACCAGTTTGCACAACGCTGAGCCGGATCGCCCCTATCAGCCCATCCACATCAGGTGGGTTTTTCACCTGACAGGTGTATGTTCCATTGTCGTCAAACTGCAGCTTCCACAGGATAATAGAGACGTCGTACCGGTCAAGATTCCCGTCCCAGACCACCCGGTCTTTGAACCTCCCACTCATGGGTTTGAAGGGATCCACATGGTAGTAGAATACCTATAGAGGAGAAATGGCAAAAGGCTTTCTCATCGGGTACCTGGGCAAGGAGGCAGGATGGTGGGAGCAGAAGAGAAACAACAGCAGACCTAACTATCCAGTTTGTAACTTTTTCGTATCTCTTGCTTGCCCTTCACTACTAGCCTCTCATTCCATCAGTCCCTGTCCCAGAAATGATTTCCCAACTTAACCCTGTTATTGATGCTTAAAGAAAATACAAGAAGGGGAAAGAGAAATGGATGGGCTTAATATGTTCCTAGCCAAGGGTCCCCCAAAAAATGACAATGATCTACTTACAAATTGTTCAGGGCCCCCATCTCGAGGACGGAAATTCCAAGTCACTGTTAGCGCATCATGCACGGGGACAAAGCTGGAAAAAGTGCATTTTAGCCGAACGTCTGTCCCATTAACAGCTTCCAGCGCCCCGGAGGTGTAAATTTCCACAGCTGCTATGGGCCAAAGAGCTGCAATGAGGGGAAGCAGAACAGTTACCAGGTGCAGTGTAGAGAGAACCGCTGACACTTTCTAAGTAATGCCTGCGAGGGCACAGGGCAGAGCCGACGTGCAGCTCTCTCTCACTTCACCCAGGCCGCACTCCTCCCTCATGCGCTAATTTTTTTCTTTTTTTTTTTTACGGGACGGGGATTGAACCCAGGACCTTGTGCTTACGAGGCAGACCCAGCACCACTGAGTTAAATCCCGGGCCGTGCTTCTTGACACCCCCCACCCCCACCCCGCATCTCACATGGTGACTGTCAGTACCACACAGCGAACCTTCCTCCTGCTCTTACTTTCTCCAGCTCCTTACAGTGCCGACTTCAAAAATGCAGGAACAAACTCCAAAATCGTCAAATTAAATTGAGAGCAGAAACCCAGAATTAAAGCAAATCATAGCACTGATGAAACAGTAAGTGTTAAGATGAAGCATTACATATTATGTGTAGAATGATCTCCTAGCAGGTTGGTGTTCCAGAAAGGGTCCTTGTTATGTATATTTCGTGCTGTACCTGGTCTTGCGCAGATATTGGGTTAATCAGTTCCTACAGTTTGTGCTTGCCTGCACCTCTGAAACCTCTATACCACGTGGGATGTTTTACATATTTACATTTGGAATGTGTGTGTGCTGGGACAGTTTCAAAACCACAGTGGGTCTCTCTCTAATAATCTCAGCTTTCCCAGTGCTGGGGAGGAGAGTCCCAGGCAAGACCCACACACAGGAACCCAAGCGCCAAGTCCTGCTGAGCAGTGGGGACTGAGAGCGGCCGCACTAAAACGGTGTGTAACCTGAGATCAGAAAGCCCTCTCCGTGCCCCAATCACAGCCAAACCCACCTAAACCTGTTTGTCCACAGCAGTTCCCCCCAAACAACCCAGTAGCTGCAGTTTCAGTAAGGTCCAGACTGAAGTAAACTGCAACGGGGTCTCAGGCTCCCACACAAGACTCTAGCTACTTGGACAATCAGCTATCAGCTATCAGCTATCTCGGTTAGAGTAGGCGACGAAGGAGCAGCCTGCCAGCTCTTACCTGTTAGCTGTAAGCAGAGGAGCAGCAGCACCGCGCGCGGAGGGCTCTGGCCATGCATGAGGGAAGCCCAGCCCTGGTCCCGGAGACCAGACCGGGCAGGCGCAGGGCTCCAGCACCCTGCCAAGGCCAGTGCGAGGCGCCGCGCCTTGTTTTCCCGAGAGCAGAGCCTGTGTCTTCACCTAAGGGAGCCGCAGCGCCCAAGCGAGGCAGGTGAGGCGGCCGTGACTCATCCCGCCCAGCCAGCCCGGCTCAGTGCAGGAATGAAAGGTGGGGCCTCCCCGCCTCTCTCCGCCCGGCCCTCCGGAGCACGTCTGCACAAAGGTTCCAAACGCCCCAGTCCTCTCTTTACTTTACAATTGTCCAACAGAGCCCTGGCCTCTGGATGCCCTCGGGAGCAGGAGGTGGTGCCAGCCCGAAAAGTCCCAGGCTGCTTTGGGTTTGGCCCACACACACCCTTTTAAAACTGTGTCCGAGCCACATTGGCCACCGGCGGGTTCCCGACAGCCCTCCAAACCGAGCGTCCAGTTTCTGAGGACCCTCGGGTCGGAGTCGTCCTGCTGATAACCCTGAATTTTAGCCAAATTGCTAGGAGGATTTCTGCACGTTTTCTAGCCTGTCGCTTTCCCTGAGACCTCGCTGAAATAAACGGCCAAACCAAAGCCCCGCGCTCGATGATCCATTCCCTTTTGAAGGATTTACAGAAGAATCCGCGCAGCACCTCCACTCACTTCCCCACCCTCTCGGCGCAGTTTGGGAAGCGCTTTCCTGCGTGTTTTCTTCTCCACAGCCCGGTGTAACCCCTTTTTTACCTGTGAGGACCTGGAGAGCCCAGAGGAGGTAAATGATTTGCCCAAGCTTGCACAGCCAATGGGTGGCAAAACGAACTTTTCTGACTGCTCTTTGGACAAATTAGCAGTTCATATAGCTAATCATGAAGACCCTGGAAAAAGGTTTTAATACCTGTTTTGTGCCTCAAATTTCATCAATTTTAGCTCAGCCATCTGTCAGAGAAGTCTGAAGCGTTGAAAAGGGCTTCCCTGTATGGAAAGAGGCACAGATTAATGAGGTAGTCGTGGGAGGGAAACAAAGGCTGTACATGTGGTTAGGAAGTAGGCTGGACCCGGTAGGAGCCTGCTCAGAATGCCGTTGCCCTGATCGATCCCCAGATTAGCAGTCTATGGACTCCTAGTTATTCATAAAATCTCCTAGCTGAGCCCTAGAATAGAGAAGAGAGAGCAAGAGTAGGCTGAGCAAAAAAACATTAGACTGGGTGAGTGGCCCAGTAGTAGAGTGCTTGCCTCAAATGATCAAGGACTTCGGTTCCACCCAACGCTGCAAAAGTGAGGAAGAAAGAAAAGGAAAACATCATAAAAAGAGAAGAAATCGGGTGTGGTGGTACATGTCTGTAATCCCAGCACTTTGGGAGGCTGAGGCAGGAGGATCATAATTCCAGCCCAGCCTGGGCAATTTAGCAAGACCTTATCTCAAAATTTAAAAATAAGAAGCCAGGGCCAGGGATTTAGCTCAGTGGTTTCGCCGCTTGCTGTCCAAGCACAAGGACCCGAGTTCAATCCCCAGTACAAAAAAAAAAAAAATAAGAGGCCAAGCTGTAGCTCAGTGGCTCCCACCCTGCCTGGGAAGGGCAAGGTCCTGTGTTCAATCCCCAGTACCACAAATAAAAAAAATAAAATAAAAAATAAACTGGGAATGGTGGCGCACACCTATAATCCCAGCACTTGGAAGGCTGAGCCAGGACAGTCACCAGGAGTTCAAGGCCAGCCTGAACTACATAACAAGACCCTATCTCAAAAAAAACTAAAAATTAAAAAATAAAAAGTGGCTGGTCATGTAGCTCAGTGTGAAGGCCCTGGCTTCAATCCCCAGTATGGCAAAAACAAAACAAAAAAGAAAATTTCACCAAAAGAGAGGCAAATTACAGAAATTTTTTTTTAAAAAAAAGGTCCAGCAGAAAGATGATGTGACCCTGGAACCAAACCAGACACAACAAAAATCCACTCTGTTAGAATGGAGAAGCTCAGTGGCTGCCCCAAATGGAGACGAGCTGTGTGCTAGCAAGGTGTTTCTGAAAGAAAGAAAAAAAGAAAGAAAGAAAGAAAGAAAGAAAGAAAGAGAGTGTCTGCTTTGTTGGCTTCTAGGTCATTCTGAGCAACCTAAACTCAGTATGCTGGGATGTTGGGGAAACTTCAACATGGTGATCAGCAAGATACAGCCTTTCTGGTGTGTAGATTGGAAGAGGTCAGCTCCAAGAGTCTGAAAGAAAAAGGGTTAAAGGAAACTTGATCTTTTTGGTTGGATTTCAACTTTGCAAGGAAATGCAACCTGAGAGGAAGGAGAGTGGAGCCTAGGGTTTTGAAATCTACAGCAAATTGCAAAATTTGGTGAGAGGTAGAGTTACCAAAGAGCTCAGGGGCATAGTAACCCACAGCAGGAGAGGAATCGGGGCAGGAAGAGCTGAACAGACTGCCTGTTGTGGGAGAAGAATCCATCCCAGTAGCCAGCCTCCTGAGAGCCGACTGCCAGCCCTGCTAGGAGAGGCATAGCTGCCCATATCCCATTCCTCACAGAGGTCAAGTTCCTGGCTCTGTGCTCAGCGACGCCCAGTTCCTTCCAGTTAGCAGGAGAGGCTCAACTCACCTGTTCCCCGCCCTGGGCGAGGAAGGAGGCCAAGGGCTGAGCTGGTTAAGAGAAAATGCTAAATAAAAAAAGGACAATTGTCCCTCAGAGTTCCTCAGATGCCAGGCAGCAGGACTTTGATCAAAACTGAGAGTCATTGGGCTGGGGATTTAGCTCAGTGGTGCCGCACCTGACTGGCAAGCACAAGGTCCTGAGGTCAATCTCTGTTACCAAAAAAAAAGTTGAGCAAAACTGAGAGACATCAACTGGGGTTGCAGCAAAGTGGTAGAGTATTTGCCTAGAGTGCCCAAAGCCCTGGGTTCAATCCCCAGCACTACAAAAAAAAAAAAATTGGAGGTATCTACATACAGCCTAAGTAGTAATTGATGTCTATGCAAATGAGAGAAAAGAAGGAGGAGCTTAATCCAAGATTAAAAAGAAGAAAAGTAGGGCTGGGTGTGTGGTTTTGGAGTTCAATCCCAACACTACAAGAGAAGGAGAAGGAAGGGGGGAGGGGAGAGTTAGGGAAGAGGGAAGTTTTCCAAGATATCTTTTTTTTTCCTTTTTGAGACAAGGCCTCCCTGTGTAATTCAGGCTGGCCTTGTACTCACTATGTAGCCAAGGCTGGTCTTGAACTTGTGGCCTCTTCCTGCCTCAGCCTCCCAAATGCTGGCGTTACAGGCATGCGCCACCATGCCTCACTATCACTTTTGCCTTAAACATTTCCAGAGAAAATTTCTGATTGTCATTAAAATCTGTGACATACCCATAGTTTTGAAAGGACCTCATCTGTCCCAACACTACACGTTTCCCCAAAATACTTCCAGTGGCCATGTAGGCCTCAGGGAGTATGAAACTCACTGGGGGCTCAAAAGACAAAGAGTTGTTGGCCTGCAACATCATTCCTAGGCCCAAAAAAAGCTGCTTTTTTTTCATGTCTATGATTTGTCTCTCTTTTGATGGAATTTTGTCTTTCTTCTTTGTTTTTGATAGAGCTCTTTTTTTTTTTTTTTTTGGTACCTGGGATCAAACTTGGGACCTTGCACTTTCGAGACAGGCACCAGAACCACTGAGCTAAATCCCTGACCTCTTGTTTTGTTTTTGTTTTGTTTTTACAAGATTAAATCTGTTTTCTGTGAAGCAAGGAAACAAATAATTTAGTGTTTAGTGTGATTCAAATGCAGCATTTGTTAACTCAAAAGTTGCTATTATCGGGCTGGGGATTTAGCTCAGTGATTCCACTACCTGCCTCTCAAGAGCAAGGTCCCAAGTTCGATCCCGGGTACTAAAAACAAAACAACAAAAAAATGTTGCTTCTATCTATATGTCCTACTAAGAAAAGACTCTTACTAAATGCTTTCTATAAGCTGGGCTAGACATACAAAGTAGAATAAGGTATTTCTGCCTGGGAGAAAATAACAATCAAAAGAAGTTGGGAAGAAATAACATGTATGTAAACAAATATTTACAATATTTGTAACTTTTGAATTCGATCCTTAAGGGCTAAATAGAAATTCTGGAAAGACAGGGGAGAAACAGTCCTTCCTATTAGGGCAAATGGATGAGCACATGACATCCACAGAGACCAGCAGCAACCCTTCAACCCCAGAGCACAGAGAGAAGCAGCAAGCCAGTGAGAGGATGGACACACAGGAGCATCTGAGGAGTGAGGACTTGGTCCTGACAAATATCCCAGTTGGGGGTGCCTAATATGTGACCTGATGGCTCATCAGAGAGGGTGTGTGCCCCTTCCCATTTCCCTTCCCTATGCATCACTGCTTCACCTGTACCCCTTGTAATATCCTTTATAATAAACCAGTAAACATGGGGGAGAGAGAGAGACCCAAGAAGGATCTACTGAGAGTGGAATTGCTTTGGTATATCCCAGAACCATTAAAAAGAAAAATGAAGTTATTTGCTGATGTTGTGATGCTTTACATAGAAGACCCAAAAAACTCAGCCAAAAGACTTCTAGATTTAATCAACAGATTCAGTAGAGTAGCTGGATATAAGGTCAACACTCAAAAAACAATAGCCTTCTTATACACATATAACAGACTCACTGAGAGAGAAGTTAGGGAAACAATTCCTTTTACAATAGCATCCAAAAAAATGAAATATCTAGGAATCAATCTAACAAAGGAAGCAAAAGACCTCTACACTGAAA